TTCTATTTAGAATTAAGTTCTTAAACTTAGAACAGTAACTAAAGAAGTAAATCAAATAATTATCTCTTCTAGTTACAACCTTTGTACTCAGTTGCTACTTGATGTAGGTTGTTAAGCTTTTAAAAAAAATTGAACGTAGAGGATATGAAACAAAATATTTTTATTAGGTTTTATATATACATTTGAATAACTAAAAAATCATAAATTACTACATCAATACCATAGAATTCCACTATAATTTATCAAGCTTACTAAGCTGTATTTGGTTCTAAAAAAAAAATATGAAATTTTGAGCAGACTAAAGACGCAACATACCTCCTTGATATTTTGGTTACAAAGAACGAGATGGCATCCTAACACATGAAAATGGCTGAGAAAGCCACTAGGGGATATTCTGAACTTTTCAATTGGTTATTAATATGTCATATATTGAAGTATATATAAGGGACCATTTCAAAAAATAGAAAGAGGTAAGTGGGGCCACTGTTTGATTCAGTACATGAGTGATATCTTATCAAATAGAAAAGATAAGAGATTCTTCTTTTATATTCTAGCTTGTCAGTATCAGTAATTTGAGTTCCTAATTCAAAAAAATTATAGACTTAGAATTTTGACATTACAAACATCTAATTCAACATACCATGTGACACAAAAATTGATGTTAAACTGTTTTTTTATATTTACTTTTCAATTAAGAAATTAAATAACGTATAATACTAAACTTTGAATTATAATATACAATTTGATACCAGACTTATTAACATAAATTCAATGAACAGTAGTCAAATAAAATTTTGAATGCGAGTCAACAAACACAATGACATGGCCTTTGACCCATCTGGAGAGGATTAAGCTTTCTTCACAGCTAAGAGAACAGACTTTTAGAAAACAATGTGTAAATTGATGTCTTCCTAGTTAAGAAAGGGTAGTGAAGTTGTTACGTCCTTCAAAACTTATTACAATAGAACAACAAAGTACATTTAACCACTTAATGTTATAAAATCCATGATTAAATGAGCCAGACTCAACAATGAAATTGTTTTTTTTTTTTAAAGTTTCACTTAATTTGGTCTTAAAAACAGTTTTTGCACTTAAGCACTGTTAATGATGTAAACTAGATGTCTTTTTTTTTTTTTTTTTTTATGGAAAATCTTAGTTGACTTCAAAAACTAGAGCTTCCCAGAAGTACCTGTTGGCTTAAAATTTTTTACATTTAATTCATTTATTTCTTGAAACAATGAAAAATAAAACTGTTTGTCGAAAATTAATCTTAACGAGCAATAACGAATTTAGTCTTAATTAAATTTCATCTCAGCAAACATACTTTTTCACGACACTTGTGATTTTCCTTCTATGGATTGATTGTCACTAAGCTTATTTTTACCCAACTGGGAAATGTATCATACTAATTTAAATATTCCAGGGGTAATAACATATCTACAAACATAAGTTTAAGTGTTGGAAACTTTAGATCAGACATACTTTTAAAATTTACTTCTTTTATAGCAGTTGTGAAATATTACTAGTAATGATGTGGATCATTATGATAGTTTCACCATTTCAGATTTTCCCTAGATTGGTACACAAATGACCAATTTACACGAACCTGTTTCAAATTTTTTAACGTTTTGTTATCCTTACATGCCAACTGTGCCTCCAAAATACTAATTTCCTAAAAGAACCAACACTTAAAACTAAAATTTACTAATATCCAGAAATAAATCATTGCAAATGAACAGTTTCAGCTACTCACCTGGAAAGTTGCATTCATGAAATTCCTGAACATGTGATGGAACATTGCGACCACGAATTGTGATTTCATGCATTCTTCTAAACATTTCCATTTCGTGCTATGAAATTCCAAAAATGAGAAAATATGCATATACAAATATTTTATAGCTTGTTTTTCAATATTCATTTATTGAAAATAAGAAAAAATCATCATAATTCTACAATTTCACTGGAAATAGGAGCAAGTTTGATTTTTTAACTACAGATAATTTAAATGTAGGATTTAATTATCACAATGTGAAAATAATGGTAGAAAATTTAACAATATTTTTATATAATCCTCATTAAACATGCAGTTTGTTTTTGTTTAAGGAAAGAATGATCCAACTGATAATTGAAGACTCAGTGATAATGTATGGTGGTCAAGTACAGTTCAAGTGAAATTTATCTAGAAAGTTCATGAAACCACAAATAAAATTATTTTATTGTAACAGTCTTGACATTTTTTAATACCCAACAATTTACTAATCCCAATTTCATGAATAATTTATTATAAACATTACATTTATGCCTTTACTGGTAAGATAATCTTTACATAACATCATTCCTTTGACCTCTAATTTTGCCAGTCAATCCAGTAAAAGGTTTCAGCCAATATGATAAATTATGTAAAAATATAAATTTACTTGTGATCTAGAGGATACAGCTGGGTGCTCCACATAGAAATTTTTTTGGAATGGCATCAGTTTACTTAGATCCCACCTTGGCTTCCTTAGCCTATCACCTGGTTGCTTTCCTTTAAGACTATTATTTTTTTGTATCATTCCACCTCTTCCTCCCCGGCTCCCAAACCCCCCACCTCTTCCTCGAGTTCCACGGGTCATACTGTTGTCTCTCATTTGTGGACCACTTCTACCTCTTGACATGCTAAATAAATGAAACAATTTTTAAATATATCTTACAGTTATTTAATCTTTGTTTTTTATTCTATCACTATCTGTTATGTTGAAATAGGCAGTTTTCATATACTTAAAATAAAACATCTTACTGTAAATGCTATCTCTATGATCCTCCTCTCTCTCTCACACACAAACACACAGTAGGGCTGAGACGAAGTATTCGAATATTCCGAAGCTTCGGATCTGCCAGTGCCCATTCGAATCTTCACACGTTTATTCATACGCATGCGCTATGCATACAATTTTTGATTAGAAAAAAATGGCGTCAGATAAGGGCGCAGTTGGAAGTAGCTGTAAAAAGGTTTTGGACGTATGGAGTTTTTATAAGAAACTTCATGACCGTAGGAAAGCCATGTGCACTATTTGTAAAAAAGAATTTGCCTATTTAGGCAGGAAAACAAACCTACGGAATCACCTACCCTTGATGGATTTGTAAGGCCTGCGAAGTGCAATGATACATGTGCAAAGAATATAACAGACAGAGTGACTCAAATGATTGTTCAAGACCTACGCCCCATTCGAGCTGTTGAATGCGATGGTTTTCATAACTTAATGAAGTACTTAGAACCGGGATATGTCTTACCAAGCAGAAAACAATTTACCGCTGATATCAACCTTAAACATGCAACGTGCAAACAACGTCTGAAAGAAAGGCTAAGTGAAGAAGCAGCGTTTATATCGTTAACCACGGATATATGGACGAGCATTGCAACAGAAAGTTACATCACCGTAACAGCGCATTACATTGATAACAGCTGTGTGCTGACAATACTATGTAATGCTACTAAATAAAAGCTTCCAGAAGGCCTGTAATCAAACTCTAGGAAATCTTCCTTGCTCAGACTACACAACTGCTGTCCAGTCATATTAAGCTTTGACAGGTCAAATGCCTGAAGGTCAAACTCATGTACAATCAAACTGTAACAAATTAAATACATACATTGTTATAATATAACAAGTATATTCAATTGTAAGAAGCTTCGAAGCACTACTTATAATATTCGTTTCAGCCCTAACACACAGAGTAGCAAGAGGCCATCAACCCATTTAGGTTACCACTCGATGAACTAAGAACCAAATGCAAAAACAAAATTTGTTCTTAGACTTTGAAACTTGTAACCCATTACTCTTAAAATTCAAGTTAATAGTTCTTTTCCAACATTCAGAGCTCCCGTCACTAAAGCAAAGCTCCAGAAGTACAAATAACCAAACTGGGGATGGATGTACATAAGAATAATGTTGGTTGTCCAAAAATATTTAATGTAGCTTTCAAATATGCATTTCGGATACAAAAAATAATTCAGTACAGGTAAAATAGAATGTCCTGAAGCAATTATAATTATCAGGATTTTTAGCTCCAAGTAAAGTCTTTAGTTGAAACACCCCAAGCTCTTAGAACAAATTATTGGCTTTGAATGCTAAAATAAAGACAATCTCTGATTTATGTAGGTCAGAATATGTTCATTCTACTGGTTATAAATATGTCCAGAATCAACAATAGAGGAAATTATACATATTTTTTCAAAGATAAAGGATAAGGTATGGGAAGGTCACATGCTAAAGTGTTCAAAACAGACACTTAAATCAACATAAAAAGGTTTTGAATATATGGCCTGATATATTGATGTAAACATTAAAATACAAAGTCTTAACATAACATAATATCTTGGGACAACATGGGATCTGTTGGTCCATCTCGACTGTTCCATCCTCAAAACTAAGTTATAACTTATTAAAAAAAAAAATTTTAACTCAGCCATTTTAATACATATACTTATCAAGCTTTTTCTTAAACTCACTTAAATTTACTGCCTCTACAGCATCTGAAGGCAACCCATTCCAAAGGCCAACCACCCTGTTAGAAAAATAAAACTGTCTTAGCTGAAGATGATTCCTACCCTGTCAAAATTTATATTTGTGTCCTTTAGTCCTACTATTCTCAATGTTAAATATAAAAAAAGATACATCAACTATATCAATTCCCTTTACAATCTTAAACACCTCAATCAGATCCCTCCTAACCCTTCGTTTTTCAAGAGAAAACAATTTGAGGGATTTTAGCCTCTCATTGTATGACAACCCCTCCATCCCAGGCACCATTCTAGTAACCCTTCTCTGAACCATTTCCAACAATTCAATGTCCTTCCTAAGGTAAGGAGCCCAAGACTGAACATAATATTCCAAATGTGGCCTAACCATTTTTAACAACCCTCTGCTTTCTTCCATACAGCCACTCTTCTATCCAATTTGCTAACTTATCTCCCACACTTATAGAACTCATTTTATATATATATATAAGCCATTTATGTGGTATCTTGTCAAATGATTTCTGAAAATCCAGATACACCAAATCTACACCCTTGCATCATCTACATAAGCAGCAACCCTTTCAAAGAATGTTAAAAGATTTGTAAGGCAAGATTTTCCCTTAGTGAAATCATCAGATACTAGCCTTCTTTTATCATTCCTCAAGGGTCCTATCCCTATCCTAACATTTTGTTTCCCCTTAATGTATTAAAAGAAATCCTTATAGTTAATTTTTGCATTTTCAGCCAATTTTTTCTCATACATCCTTTTTGATGTTCTAATTTCCTGTTTCACCAACTTTCTGGATTTTCTATAATCTTCTACCAGTCAATTTAAATTTCTTAAATTTATGATGCTTTTCTTTACTTTTATTTCTTAAACTCTTTGTGAGCCAACCTGGTTTTCTACTTGTAGCTACCCTTTTCTTTCTATTAGGAATATGTTTACATTGAATATTTAAAAATGTATCTTAAACAATTTTACACATCTGATCAGTGTCTCCAAATAACTCAGCTGTCCAATTCACAACAGATAACTCTTGTTGTATTTCTTCAAAATTTGCTTTTTTGAAATTTGGAAACAAAACAACATTATTCTTTATCTCCATATGCAGGAAAACATTGAACTTGTCTTGTCAGCTGATACTCCATGACCGAAGAGGCCAATCAGAATCAGAGATTTTGAGGAGATTCCTATCAATGATAACTTACTGAGAAATTCAATGCAGGATGGTGAGTTACCTCAATAGGTATATCCTAAATGATTAAATCTCCTGATCATAATTTTTTTAAATTAACTGGTACACCTAATCCCACTTGAATTAAGAAGGAAGACATATGAAAGAGGTGTTTCTGGTATATAAAAAAAAATAATAATAAAAAAAAAAATAAGAAAATGAGGTTCAGTTAAAAATGTTGATGTTGTCCGTACATTCAGAGTCATTCATAAGTAGTCATTTTATGTTTTGTTTTATCAATAAGAAATTTAGTACCCACTGAGTCTACCATACATGGAGTCCAACAGTGGAATGTGCAACACTGTCAAACTGGGACAGTAGTAATACCAAGGTTTTGTGGGTTCTGTACCCAAATACCAACACCTGACAATGCCCATAACATCCATTGAAGCCATCCAATACTGTACATGGTTGACCCCTCAGGCTGTAATATATAGCCTCAGACTCCAAAAAAATATTTTCTTGCTCAGTTTTTTCTCTTTGCTTACTCTGTGTATAACAAGCAAATAAATGCTTTTCTACTAATCAAAATTGGCTTAAGGTGTGATATGTTTAATTTTTTGACATTATTATTTTCTGCATAAGATAATCCATATTTTTAGACAAAATTGTCTCCTGGTATCCATTCCCTTTGCAATAAAAAACTTCATGTTCTCAGTTGACTCTACCCACAAAACACAAGCCAACTGACCATGGAGGAGCCACCATCAGCAGGAATTCAAGGCCAAAGTGGCATGTTGCATCATGCTGCAGGATAATTCCAAAAATGAAAATAACTACCTACCTGGCTAGAACCGGGGAATACAACCCTTCAGCTACTGCAGAACACTGCAGTTGTCCAAAATTGTTAGGAAGATGAAAGTGGATATCATGTTGGTACCCTACATGATTTTTGACAAAGGCAGAAAGTGCAGGTACCATGAAGCAAGCCTTTCATGCACTCACTCTGTCACTGTGTGAAAAATGGAATATTACTACCAAAATAAATTTACTTTTTAATGTATATTTTGTAGGGTAGGGAGGGGTGCAAGTAGATTTTTCTAGCATTTTGTCCCTTGAACATACCCCTGTAAACACATTAATTTCCATGAAATAAATCAAGATCATTAGACTTGGTGCAATACATTTCTTGTCATAATAATATAGCTCACAAGCAGGAAGATAAATGTTACAAATAACAACAAGCCCTAGTAACAGGCTTACTCCTACCACCAGTAATTTATATATGAAAAATTTCAAGTATATAATGCCCTCAAGAGAGTCATTCTAAGACCCAAGATTTGGCTAAGATATGTTGAAAAGACATTCGGATCATAGCCATACACTACAGACAAGATTCCATAATTCATAAGACACTTAACAGACAACACCCACTGATACAATTCAGACTGGAAAAAGATAAACCCCAATTCCTATATGTGATGGTTACCAAGACAAAATTAGAGGTGGTCACTTCCAAATGAAAAATTTCCATAGAATATCCAGAAAAACAATTGGGAAAATTACAGAAATTTTTTTGATGAAATGTACTTAGGGATAACTACAAACTACTGAATCAAGTTGTATGAAACTTTGTATATATGGGCAGATTTTTGTGAAATATATATATATATAAAAATTTCATATGGTCTTAAATGTTTAGCAAATATTACACGATTCACAAGAGCCATGCTGAATGTGGTAAAGGGAGCTCTTATCAGCTTTCTCATTCAGCTTTACTTTGCATGGCCTAGCACATGCATCTAGTTAACCCTTTCGTTACAGGTCACAGGTGAAAGGCCATTTCATCTCGTCTGTTGACTCGCATTCAAAAGTTTATTGAACTACTATTTCATGAACTTATGTCAATAAGTTTGATATCAAACTGTAGATTATAATTCAGATTTTAGAACTATATATTACTCAATTTGTTAATTTAAAAGTAA